CCATTATTGGCCTAGAAAACATATTTTTTTTGTGTATGCTCCAACTGTCTTTGGCAAGACGAAATAGTCTCTGGTGTGGGCTTTGGTGCATCCCAGATGGATACATATTTTCCCCCTTGTTCAGGATTCTTTCAGGATTTTGATATGAGCAGGGATGGGACAAGAAAGCTTCTATGGGGGTGTTTGCACATTTGTTATGCCTGGTTTGGTGTTAATCATGGGCTTGGAAATGTTATCCCATACCTAGCCTTAGGTTCATCTCCTCTTTGGAAAAGTTGTTGATCCATTTTGTGTTGTCAGATTATAGATAGATAGATTAGATAGGTAGACAGACAGACAGACAGACAGATATAGATTATACACATGCACACACACACCGGGGAGGGAGGGGGAGAGGGGGGGAAGAGAGGGGGGGAGAATGGAGTTTATGAACCAGAATTATTCATGGCTGTTCACAATCAAGTTCATAATTCCAGCAATATTTAGGGAAAAAATATTGTGTTGTGATTGTTGGCCCCAAGATGTAGATTAGACCAAACCAATTTACTTCATATTAAGACTAAAACTACTCTCTTTTACGACCCTGTAATAATCCCTTGATTCAGAGTAGAATTGGAGCAACTGGATGGAGCTGAGCATTTACTAGCCAAATGCCCTTCCTGACGCCACACAGAGTTCATAACATATATTTTTTCTTTGTGCCCTAAGGGAGAAATATCTGCCACTACCTAGGATTGAACCCTCAACCATCCGAGTGGGAGGCGTCTTCACCACTAGGCCACCACACCATTCAATATGAAGACTAAAACTACTTTTATTAAAATTGGCTCGAGTAACGGAATTATGCAAGTGTGGTATTATGGTTTACTTCTTCGTTCTTTATACTCCCTAATTGGAATTATTGAGATGTTTAAGATATTTTTACATCCTTCCTTCCTTATTTGGACTTCGAAATGCTTTCCTCTTCATTGTTTTGATAACAGATCTCCCCTTTCAGAAATTGTAGAGAATATTCGTAGCTCGGGTTGTAGATTTAGCAGAGGTTTGTCCTCTGAGCTTGCTGCTTGGCTCCCAAACATTTCATTACCAAACTAGGTAACATGGGAGCCAAGTACCAAGCTCAGAGGACAAACCTCTGCATAGGTCTCAATCCTCTATACTCCACTTCAATAACCCAACAGGACCACTAGAAGTTAACAAAGGATTAGAAAGGTATTTCTTTGCTGCCACCTGGAAGTCATCTACCTCCTTACCTCCACTAACTCCAGAATTGACACAACTGCCTTCAATGATTCCTGAGGAAGTTTGGTCTATTGACTTAGTCCCTACCAAGCCATCATCTTTACTGGTTTGCATAAACATGTTGTGTAAACTCAGCTTGACCCAAACCAAAATAGATAGTCTTGCGTACACTTCACCAATAATGGGGTTTTTTCATAGGCATGTCTTAGCCCTGAATATGTGCTCATCTCAACCTTCTTCAACTCAGCTGTTTCCAGCTTCCTCAAATCTCCTATTTCACAGCCAGCTGTGGTCCAGCTGTAGAGGTTTTGAGAGCTGTAGTCCACCAGGCTGCAGTGGACTATGTCATCCAACCTTAGGATGGTCATCAAATTATTTTTCTTTCTCTAATAATTAAGCCTGCTGCAGTACAAAGTAACCAATAACCATTTCCCGTTTTTAAAATAATCTTATGTAAGAATTTGACACTTGTTCTTTGTCTAACATCACCGAATAAAAAGAATGTGGCAGGAATTTTTTAAAATCTCTCTCCCCTCCACATATTACACACTCAGTCATTATTCTTTATTTATACTTGAAATTTGATATAATTCCTGTTAATTTACATGGCTGTGTCCTCTAGGGCACTCTCTCTCTCAATTTCGACTGGAATCTTTCAAGACAGTCATTGGGTGGGTAAGCCACCCCTTGTTGATATTGGAAAGTGTTTGGGCCCAACACAAGAACTTAAATTTCTCCTACTGTAGCCATATATTTTAGAAGTTCTTATAACAGCAATTTTCAGGTCATTTGTCGAGCAGGAATTCGAGAAGAAACATATGGTTTCTGATTATGCTGTGATTTTTTCCCCAATAAACGGGGACTGGAGGGGATTAATTTTATTAAACAAAATTTAGACAGACAGACTCAAATGAAGCAAAACAGAAAGCATATAGAAAGCAATTTGTTTCCTGAAAATTGGAAAACTAAACATGAAGAAGCAGCTATATTTATAAAGACTGTATAAATTGGAAGAGAGTTTCTTTATTTCATATTTTTAAAAGAAAAACCCCTCATGTATCAGCAAAGGATCAACAGAGAGTCTATCTAAAACTATAAAATCAAGTACAATTTAAGAAGAGCAATAATGATTATAGCAATTAAGAGGTATAAAAAGAATTGAGTCAGCAAACACTGAAGAATACACTAGTCCAAAATCACTTTGGACAAGGCTTAAATCCCCAAACAGGTGGTGTAATTCTTCCTTCCTTCCTTCCTTCCTTCCTTCCTTCCTTCCTTCCTTCCTTCCTTCCTTCCTTCCTTCCTTTCTTCCTTCCTTCCTTCCTTCCTCCCTCCCTCCCTCCCTCCCTCCCTCCCTCTCAAACTATAAAACAAGATCTCAGTTTAATAAATATGGAATCCTGGCCCACAGAAGAAAAGCAGAAAACCAGGGAAGGGATCAAAATTCTGAACGTCCTTTGATGTACTCTCTTTTCTTCCTCCATGTCTTAGCCTTGGACCTTCACAGGACCTTTATAGTTGTCCATTCATTCTTGGAATTGAAGCCCATGTATTTTAATGTTGCCAAGGTTGAAGAACACTGCAACAGAGAATGAAAATGAGCACAGGAGGATGGGGATCCATCACAATACTATGCCTTCAGCTCCTAAACCCAAAGAAGCTGATTCTTCCCAACAGCAAGAAGAGTGCCCTTGGAGGCCTGAGAGGAGGAAGATGCTGTGTCAGACATGTGACTTCAAGAGTGTTGCTGTGGTCCCACTCCACCTCTTCATTCTATACAGGCTCCAGAAAAAAGACCTAAATGGGCCACCTTGGATTCTAGGAAAGAAAGTCTTCCAGTAATAGAACTTCAGTAGCTCCTACAAACAGAATAACATTTTAGGGCCATTGAGTAAAGAATATGCCTGTGGGAATTAATCAATTCACAGCAAGGCAGTGCAGTTGTTAAGACACACATATCATCCCAGCCGTTTGTTTATTCTCATTTTTTCAAATGGAGAAAGACTTAGCTTGGCTGTGTGACCATGAAAGGAACTTCCGATAGAAAAGGGAATTGAGTTGATCTCTAACCCTCTGAAGGCTCTGGATGGGGGCGGGGGGGGGGGGGGTGTCTCCAGCCTTGGCAGCTTTAAGACTTGTGGACTTCAACTCCCAGAATTCTGGGAGTTGGAAGTCCACAAGTCTTAAAGTTGCCAAGGTTGGAGAACTCTGCTCTAGATCACATCAGCTGCCCATCAATCTCTCTACATGTTGGTAGTGGAAGAATTTCAAAAGCTACTTAATGCTCGTTTAAGGTTTTCTTTGTATTTCCACTGTGAGAGTAAGTTGCGGTTCTGTTTCTAATTTCTGGAAAGGAGCTCCACTGAATCCAGTTGGCACTGCATGTAATAGATACACCCACTCTTTAACAATCTTTGTTTGGGTTTCTTAACCCTACTAGCCTATTGCATGATGTTATTATTTCTTTGACTAATATTGTGCTGCCCTCTAGTGATTGCATTTCTCCTTTTATATTCTCTCGAAGAGTTCCATAGACTTTGTCTCCCACGGACTTCAGCTGAAAATCATTGACATGAAGGACCTCAGAACAATTGAAGCTGTGCTGAGATCTACAGATGAAAACCCCCTTTTCTTCAAATTTAGTGCTACGTCTGGTGTTATTTCCATACTGCATATACACGACGGGAGCATAATTAGCCTGAATGAGAAGTCCACACATTGCTATGCTCTATCTATGATTTATATGAGAAATTTATGGTTTCTATGAGAGTTTATCATCTTTTGGAATCATAGAATGAAAAGACATGAGAAGACAAAGAGAAATAAACTCCATTGAATTCAATGGGTCTTTTCTCTCTGGGAAAACAGATGTAGGGTTGGAGGCAATGGTTTTATTTAAGAATATGCACCACTATTTTAATTATCAGGGATATTATACTCTTCATATTGACAATATTTATATCAAGTTTGCAACTGAATTAGAAGTCCATTTGATTAGCCCATGTACAGAAGTGGCCAAAATTGTGGAAACCTTTTGGGAAAAGTGTATTTTCTAAAACTAGCTAATAACACCACTTTTTAAAGTTGTACTATAAAATTATATATCAATGGAAAGATAATTTAATCAAGAATGTAATGTAATAACTTTTATGAAGGATTTGCTATTAGAATAGCAGTTATGGTATAAAGAAGAAAAGTGAAACACGTAGAAAAAAACAAGATATACAAAAATTATCATCATAGAAAATACAAGATATACAAAAATGATCACCATGTCAGTTAATACTTAGTTGGGTAACCTTTAGCATGAATTATGGCCTTATAACATCTTCCCATGGAGTGAACCAAGTCTTTTAGTTCTGCAGCTGTTATCATGTGAAACCAAGATTGAAGGATTGCCTCTATTAACTGGGTTTTATTGCTGGGTCGCTTCTGACTAACCAGTTTCTTTACTCGGTTCCATAGATTTTCCATTGGGTTAATTCAATCTGGGCTATTCCCAGGCCATTCCAGCAGTGGAATAGGATTATCTTGAAACTCAAAACAAAAAGTGGTGTTATTAGCCATCAAACCTCAAAAATACACTTTTCCCAAAAGATTTCCACAATTTTGGCCACCACTGTAATTCCAAACTGGTTAGGAACTTACAAATGAAGGCAAATATACGTGTCCCAGGATAAATTTTGCAAGATCCAATCTGGTTCAATCACCAGGACCAGAGGTTTAGCCTTCTGAGCTTTCGGATTCGTGCTGGAGCCCATCCTCAGGGAACTTCTCTCTAGCAGAGTGTGTGCTTTGGGCTATTCTCTTGTGCAGTATTTATATGATGCCTTCTATCAACACACCAATCAATCAAAAGGTAGGCGCCAAATAAGCATGACACATAAAATAGCCCAAAGAACATATTCCAGTAGAGAGAAGAGTTCCCTGGGGATGGGCTCCAGCACGAGTCCGAAAGCTCAGAAGACTAAACTTCTGGTCCCAGTGACTGACCCAGACTGGATCTTGGTTAGGAACTCATCAAACATTTGGAGGAGCCCTGTTTCAAAGAAACGAAACCCTTACTTATTAAGACCCAAAATATCCATCAGAAGAATTTGCCACCACTTCAGTGGACACCATGGGTCATTCAACGAGTAGGGGTAAAAAGGTAAAGAAGTCTTGAGTCAAGGCATCTGATGAAGTGAGTTGCAGCTCATACAAGTATATGCTTTTTAATTAAAAGAAAATTGGGTCAGAAAAGGTATCGTGTCCAAATTGGTTTAGGGTCTCCTGTTTGAGCAGGGATTGGACTAGAACATGGGTCTCCAACCTTGGCAACTAAAGACTTGTGGACTTCAACTCCCAGAATTCTGGAAGTTGAAGTCCACAAGTCTTAAAGTTGCCAAGGTTGAAGACCCCTGGACTAGAAGACCACCAAAGTCCCTTCCAACTCTTGCTATTCCATTATACCAGAGTCCTTCTAGCCTCTGGCAATCAAGGACTATCATCTATCTTCCTACAATGTCACCTCAAGCCATAGTTCCATTATAACCCTTACTGGGTATGTCAGTCCTTTAGCCTAGCCCTAGCCTACCAGAACAATTCAAGGGGCTATGGATTGGTCACTGCTAATGAGAACTGCGGGACATATTGGGTTTTCTCTGAGTTACCATTAGAGTAACCATATACATGAAATGGGGGAGGGGGGAACAGAGGGAAGGGGACCAGCACACTTCTCCTTCAGTTTTCTCTACATGATGGATAGAAATACTGAGGCATGATGTTAACTGATTATGCCAAGATTTCTCTTCTGATAGTTCTTTCAGCTTTTTGCAAGGGCCAAATGAGAAGAATTTGCTTATATACAGTGTAAGAAAAGGGGAGTTTTGCTAACAGGTCATTACATCAAGCCTCAAACTCCAGATAAGAATTTTGGGCATTAAACTGCAAGACAAAGCTAAATTATTTGACCTTACGAAGTAGGCATCCCTCAGGTTTTTTTGATTTTGTAGGCTTGGGTTTGAAAAAGAATCATTTAATTTCAGTGGCAGGTGTTTTGTTATACGGAGAAACCTCTGGGTCAAAGGAGAGAGGTTATAGGAGCAAATATAGCAAATCGAGCAAATCTAGTTTTCCAAGCTAAGATGTCCATCTCCAATCTTGCAACTTCAAACACAATTTTGTGTCTCAAGTTAATTCTGAAGGCGGCAACCACCAATGTTACTTTTGCCTGGTGTTTCTCAGTTTGACCTCTCCTTGGGTGTTGAAAGGCGCTCAACATCTCTTCCTGGTCTTCACAACTTTGCTGTAATAGCGGATGGGCACCCCCGAGGACCCAATGAGATACACATCAAAAAGATAGGCCGTCCCTGCTTCCAGGCCCCGGATGGTTTCGGTAGTCACAGCTCGTTGCAGATTGAGATCGTGGAAGAATTTGCAGAGCACTTTTTCACTCTTCTGCCTCGACTCCGGCCCAGAGCACCTATCGACTTTCCTGGTGGCCACCCATGTCTGGTCCTCCTCAATCTCCTTCTTGTAGATGCAATACTTGCTCAGTTCCTGAGTTCCAAGCCAGGCGATGGTGACTGAATGGCAGCTCCTCAGTTTCTTAAAGGATTTGATTTTTAAACTCTCTGGGAGAGCTGGGAAGAAAGACCTATGGAAGAGAGAGGACACCTGAACCTTCACGGATGCAGCTGAAGTCTCAGCGGACCACAGATGGACCAGGTAGGTATCTCCCAACCTTCCTTTCAGGATGAAATGCCTCAAGCCAGCAAATCTCTCTGACATCAAGACTTCCCCGTCCTTGGATATTTCCACTAGGAGTTGCCCACTGCAAGACTGGAAGGCAAACCGAACCTGCTTCTGCGTTGCCTGGTACAGCAAATTGTAAAAGGGCTGCTTCCTCCCATCCAGTCTCAACTGAATCACCTTCCCGTCCTTCAGTTTGCTCACATTGGACTCAGGATTTTCAAGAGTCCGGGCGAAGGCTCCAGTATAAGCAGCACTGGTGTTGGTGAGGAAATTGACGACAAAAACGTCAAAGTAGTACTGAATGCCAGGAGTCAAGTGGGACACTGTGTAGGTATTTGTGAGCCCCACACAAACTTGTTTCACCTGTGCATTACCACCTTTGTGACTCATGCTGACTTTGCTCTTGGACGGGGCTTTCGGTTCCTGAGATGGGAGGCTACCTGTGGAAGGCAAGCTCACCAAAGAAGGAGACAGTTTCACCCCTGTAGGTTGTGTTGCTGTTTCTGCTGCACAGAAAGTCTTGAAATTGTAGTTTTTGTTCACCAGGAGACAATAATGAATGTTTCCTTGGGGTGGCAGGATGCTCGGACTCTGCTTCCAAGCCAGAGTTACTGTGGTGGGACCAATCCCAATGACGTCAATGCGGGGATCCATCGGCAGTTCTGGATAAAAGTGATCCGATTTGGAGTCCGTGGTCAAATATGCTTTAATCTGGGTGTCTTTCTCAATGGAGAGGAATTCAAGCATGTAGACTGCGGAATGGTGAGATGCTCCTGTGTAGTTTTCTACTGAATTACCTCGATAACTAAAGAGAGTCCGCACCAACTTGGGGCCCTTCTGGAATCGGAGGACTTCCTGAGCATTCGAATTACCTGCCAATGAAACAGAAGACAGACAAAGCTTTTAAAGTTAATGGAGATAGGAAAAGCATACACTGACAGTGAATACAATGTAGATACCTTGAGAAAGTCTACACTTCCTGCCTGTTTTGGTTTTGGGAATCTGGAAACAGATTCCAGGTCAAGGTTCGAAGTAACACCCACAACGAAATAAGACTTGTTTCCTCAAAGGAAATAAGAGTTTCCTCAAAGTTCTTTTTTATTGAAGATGTCATATTGGCACATCTGGGAAAACCCGAATCTGAAAGCTTCCAGGTTTTCCTCACCCAAGTGAAAGTTCAAGTCCCTGCCCAGCACCCACATGTCCATCACATGGTCAAATCATCCACTGTCCAAACTGGAGACACCTCCCAGTCATCTGACTCCAGGGCCCAGGGCAAGTTGTCCTTGATTCTCTGAGAAAGGAATGTTATTTTGACTACGTATCACCCATACTCTATGCAATCCCGCCTCCCATTCTCATACAGAAGAATATGTGGCAGGCCTGAAGGCCCAAATGTAAAAGATGGCTTCCAGGTCTGACATTCACGTCATATTTAATATTTCAGAAAGCACAATGGAAGGGGTTTCTATTGTTGCCTTCTACCATTATTTTTAAACTTTCTAATCTAGGTTACTTCTTGAAGTCTCCCCTCCAAGTATTAACCAGGTCTTGTTAGCTTCCAGTTCCAGAAGGGATTTTCCTGGTGCTGAGACTTCAATGTTAAAGTTTCAATTATGGATAAAAATCTTGTTGGTACAAATCAGGTTCCAAATGAATCTAAGTCAATCTTCCTTTCATGCACTAACTAGATCTCTCTGTTAAGAGAAAGAGAAATGGAATGGAAGAAGGAAAAGGGGAGAAAGAGAGAGAGAGAGAGATTCAACTTCCCTCTTGCATACCAGAAATTGTTTTCCCAAAATGGTCTGCCGATGTCTTAGGGACTCGTATACTCCACTCAATGGGGATGTCACATGGGGTTACTCTCACTGTGAAGAATGAAGAGGTTTTGCTTTCTTTTAGAACAAAATAGCACCTGGAAATGAATGGATTTGTGTTCATTTTACATCACAGAAGGGGGGTGGGGGTGGGGAAAGACCAGACAAACTTAACATAAACAATATAGCCAAAGATTTGATGGCATTATTTAGCTAAAAGAATTCCTGTGATTATTTTATTTTGGAAACAGCATGTTTATACGCAAGTTTTAATCAATCTCAGAAGAATCAAAGCATCTTCCTATAAATGTGGGAAGGCCAGAGCTCCATGGGAAGTTGGTTTTTGAAAACCTTCTCCAAGGTCCATGTTAAAACAACACTTGATTGCTGAAGTTGTTCCCTCTCAACACAGTTTGGGAACCTGAGGGATGTCATAAGACAAACCCTTGGACAAAAGGCTTTCATCTCAAACCCATAAACAAAAACAATTCTGTAGAAGAAGGTGGCTGTGGAATCTACCCAAAGTGGAAAGGAAAAGACGGGCCCCTCACCTTTGAGGCATCCCTTTGGAGAGAGAGATTGTCGTTTCCTTGCCCTCTGCAAGCATCAACATGTGATAGAAACGGAACATCTCATTCTTCAGGTTTTGCTGTAAACCAACAGCCATGATTAAAGGATGGCTGAGGCACATGACCAGAAGAAACCGGCAAGGCAGACACATCTGTGGCCCAGACATTTTCTGTGCTGCAGACCTGGGAGTTAATAAGACACGGAATGGGCTTTCTTAAATGTAATGGATTGTTAATTAGCAGTTTAAACACTACAGAAGACAAATAGATCGTTTCCCCAAAAATAAGATCCAACCAGAAAATAAGTCCTAGCAAGATTTTTCAGGCCCTACCCCCAAAATAAGCCCCAGTTAAGATTGTCAACCAGATGGGTGCATTTAGTACTGTATTTCCCCCAAAATAAGTCCTAACCAGAAAATAAGCCCTAATGTGTCTTTTGGAGTAAAAATTAATATAAGACCCAGTCTTATTTTTGGTGAAACACGGTAGACATTTTATTTGTGTTAGTCGGCCACTTGGATCCTGCCAAAATTGGTATCACTTGAAAATCCATCTAGAATAGAAGTTGTCACTTTCCTTGATCAACAGGTAGGATGTCCAGTGTTTTCTAACTGCAACTGCACTGGTGGAAAGGCTAAAGAAGGGGTGGAGGAACAAAATAAGTGAGAATCAGATGTGTATCATCTGTGACCAGCTGTTTGGAAACTAGCCACAGGCCCTATTTCTCCTTTTTCTCTTGTTTCTTCAGTGGATACTCCAGGACAGGGGTCACCAACCTTTCGGACCTCAGGAACCACTAAATTCATAATTTTAAATCCCGTGGACCACTAATATGAATTTTTTAAAAAAAGATAAATAGTATTTAGTGCAATATAAAAAATGCAAATAATTTTCTGCTGACCACCAAAATTTTCTCACGGACCACCAGTGGTCCGTGGACCACTAGTTGGTGACCACTGCTCCAGGAAACAAAATTACTGGTTCTACAATCATGTCAGTTCCCTCCAATGGCAGAGCGATTCCTTGCGTGTGCTGACACATTTGTTACCTACACTTTAAGGAGACTTGAGATATGAGTCACTTGGTCGTTTGGACAGAATAGTATTTTAAATGTCAGGAAAGGAAGAAAAGGAGAGAAGCGTGCGGATGAGAAGGGCCAAGGATCGAAACTATAGAGGATACTGTAGTTGTGTCTGCAGGCAGGGGGTGCTCTTAGAACAGCTTGAGGGGCAGCCCCTTAAGCTGATCTACACGTTAAAGAAAAAATGTTCCTTTTTTAAAAAATCTGGTTTGCAAGCAATCAAAGGGAATACATAAAATTGCAAAAATATTAGAACCAAAACTCACTTTTGAAACTGTATTTTTTTTTAAAAAAATTACTTTGTGAGACAAAAATAATTATCAACAATATCAGTGATGTTCCATAATACTTTTATTTATTTTTTAAAATTAAACTCAGTAACATTTGATTCCCTATTTTAGTGTACAGATAGTCTTTTAGGTTTTAAATGACAAAAAAATCAGTTTGAGCAGGTTAAATAAATAAGTCATAAAATACAAAAAAATGTTTTGACCAACTTGTTCTGCAGCGTATTCAAACCTTTTATAATAGTATTCAGAATACATATTGAAATGGCTCCCCCCCCCCCCACCAGATTCCTGGATTGTGTTCTCTTATGACAGAAATGCCTGAACCTCTTTATATGGTAATTAAACCAGGATTTTATATGGGTGCTGCGACGCAAACGTAATATATTGAAAAGTCCAAGAAAGGCAGATCTCCTAGACATAAGAAAGGTAACAAAGAAAACAGATTCATCCTAAACAGATTTGGTTAAACGAATCACTCTTAACATCTTAAAAGAAACTAGGAAGAGTTGGTAGGATAGGCGAGGTAGGATATTTTATTCCTCTTACCTTGAGCCAGATGTTCACAGGTAATTCCGTGCAAAGGTTCTGAAGCACAGCTGCTGAGCTAGACTTTTGGAGAGCTTTGCTGGCAGATGCAAAAGCATCACCGAGAAACATATTCAGCTGGGCAAAACTGACCTCCCTGACTGAGAGATTTCAAAGCAGAAGGATTCCTTGAGTGGAGAAAGGATTCTTGAGGGTTGGGGTTTTTTTTCTTTAGATGTGAAGATATTTGAAAGCAGAAGGTCTTCTTGCCAGGGTTCCTCCAAGGAACTTGCAGCAGCCCTGATTTCCTGAAAGTGAGGACAGGTCCTCTGCAGAGGGAGGAGGAGAGGAGCTGGAGAGCTGAGAAGGAGGCCAGACCCCAGGGTGCTTAAAGAGGGTCTTTGGTAGAAACAGGGAAGAGGGTCTGTGGGTAGATGTGTTCACTTAACCCTTTTGTAGTGTTAGCTTGCCTAAAGTTGCCTCTACACTGTCTAGCGGATTGGATGGGTTTGACCTACTTCCAGAGATACGTTCAGCCAGAATTGAGTCAAGGCAAGATGTCTTTGGTAGAACTGAGCTTTCAGTCTTTGGAATAAAATCTCTTTGCATAAAAGGGGTTTTTTTCAATATTTCTTTAGGTGCAGTGTTTTGATTTTTCTAGCCTATATACCTTAACGATCTTAAGTAAGGTAGCCCATACCTTAAAGCCTTAGTAAGGCCACAGTTGGAATACCGCATCCAGTTCTGGTCACCACAATACAAAAACAGATGTTGGGACTCTGGAAAGAGTGCAAATAAGAGCAACAAAATGATTAGGGGGCTGGAGGCTAAAAAGGTATGAAGAATGGTTACAAGAATTGGGTACATCTAGTCTACTAAACTAAGGGACGCAGTTGCTGAGTGGCTAAGATGCTGAGCTTGTTAATCGAAAGATCGGCAGTTCAGCGGTTCGAATCCCTGGTGCCGCATAACGGGGTGAGCTCCCGTTACTTGTCCCAGCTTCTGCCAACCTAGCAGTTCGAAAGCATGTTAAAAATGCAAGTAGAAAAATAGGGACCACCTTTGGTGGGAAGGTAACAGCGTTCCGTGTGCCTTTGGCGTTGAGTCATGCCAGCCACATGACCACGGAGACGTCTTCGGACAACGCTGGCTCTTCGTCTTTGAAACGGAGATGAGCACTGCCCCCTAGAGTCGGGAATGTCTAGCACATATGTGCAAGGGGAACCTTTACCTTTACCTTTAATCTACTGAAAAGAAAGACTAGGGATGACATGATGGCAGTATTCCAATATTTGAGGGGCTCCTACAAAGACAAGGGGGTCAAACTATTTTCCAAAGCACCAGAAGGCAGGAGAAGAAATAATGGATGGAAATTAATCCAGGAGAGGAGCAACCTAGAACTAAGGAGAACTTCCTAACGATGAGAGCCACCAATCAGTCGAAAGGCTTGCCTTCAGAAGTTGTTGGTGTTACATCATTGAAGGTTTTCAAAAAGAGACTGGACAACCATTTGTATGAAATGGTATACAGTCTCCTACTCGAGCAAGAGGTTGGACTAGAAGACCATTAAGTCCCAACTCTAACTCTATTATTCTATGTTCTATGACACAAGAGAATTTCTAGCTCTCCAGGTACAGCTAGACAAAAATTCCCGGGATCCTTTCCATCCAGTTTGCTGACTACAGATATTGGGGATTGTCATTCATCTACATCTGGATGAACTTTCCCATACTAAGGTCATATTTAAACTGTGCAACATGTGCAGATCAGCGGTAAGATGGAGCATCAGCCAAAACCAAGAGAAACGAGTTTTGATTTGCCAAAATACCAAGTCAGGATGCAGGTGACGTTGAAATGAATTGGAGGTCAATTTGTGTTACTCTAGCTTCCTGTGCTAATTGGGGATTGTGGGTGCCAAGAAAACTGAGGGGAGGGCACCGTCAACATAAGTAACCTCATGACTAAGCACTTACTGAAGAGCAGTGGTGAAATCCAAATTTTTTTACTATCAGTTCTGTGGCTGTGGCTTGGTGGCCATGGTGTGGCCTGGTGGGTGTGGCTTGGTGGGCGTGGCAGGGGAAGGATACTGCAAAAACTCCATTCCCACCCCACTCTGGGGCCAGCCAGAGGTGGTATTTGCCGGTTCTCCGAACTACTCAAAATTTCCGCTACCGGTTCTCCAGAACCTGTCAGTACCTGCTGGATTTCACTCCTGCTGAAGAGCCATCCAATGGTGCCATCTAGTTTTAATCTCAGTAAAACAGATAGGTGAGCATCTGTTTTATTAAAATCATTTATCAAAAAAATATTTTGCAGCTGCATCTGAAACGTATTTGTTCATATGTAAATTTTATTTTTTTAAATGTCAATCTGATTTTGTTTATCCTCTCTGTTCAGAATTGAGGCACTGGAACCATCTCTTGGAGATGCTGTAGTTAACAAGTTTTCTATGGGTGAGTTGTTTAGACTTATCCTCCAAACTCCTTTCCACATTAAAATCTCCATGATGAGTAAGTGGAAGCGACTGCCTTCTGGGATGGGGAAGAATGGCGTTCTCTTCATGATGCTCTACTGATGCTCTTTGGGACCCGGAAGCAGAGTTGCAGCCTCATAATCCATCCTGGCTGGATGGCCAAGCTGCAGGAAAGTGCAGGAGGCAGGCAGTGGATAAACAGAGTTAAGCTGATAAGCAGGGATTATCCAGCAAATATGGCTACACATTAAAAACAAGTTGTTTTCAGACTAAAAAGTCAAGACGAGTATGAGGGGACCTGAAAAGGCCCAGCAGAATCCTTGAGGCTCCCAAGTCCCATATGATATTTGCAAGAGGACATCCTGCCAAATTGTGTTGGCTCCATTTAAGAAAAAAAGAAGTTGATTCAGCATAGGGCTCTGTTTGCAAGTATGTCCAAACTATTGATAAAAAGGCAAGAATAAACTGGGTGATAGTGAATATCCTGCAGGACTAGAACTGGTGACAAAGAGCCCCTTCCTTCCTTCCATTTACCCCTTTCTTCCATCCTCCCCATGATCCATCCATCCTTTTCCTCCTTCCTTCCTTTCCTTTCTTCATCTTACCCATTTACCTCTTTCTTCCATCCTCCCTATCATCCATCCATCCATCCATCCATCTTTTCCTTCCTTCCTTCCTTCCTTCCTTCCTTCCTTCCTTCCTTCCTTCCTTCCTTCCTTCCTTTCCTTCATCTTACCCATTCACCTCTTTCTTCCATCCTCCCTATCATCCATCCATCCATCCATCCATCGTTTTCCTCCTTCCTTCCCTCCTTTCCTTTCTTCATCTTACCCATTCACCTCTTTCTTCCATCCCCCCTATCATCCATCCATCCATTCATCAATCTTTTCCTTCCTTCCTTCCTTTTCTTCCTTCATCTTATCCATTAACCTCTTTCTTCCATCCTCTCTATGATCCATCCATCCACTTTTCCTCCTTCCTTCCTTCCCTCCTTTCCTTTCTTCATCTTACCCATTCACCTCTTTCTTCCATATGATCCATCCATCCATCTATCCATCTTTTTTTCCTTCCTTCCTTCCTTCCTTCCTTCCTTCCTTCCTTCCTTCCTTCCCTCCTTCCCTCCTTCCTTCCTTCCATCTCAAAATTAGGTAAAATTGCTAAAACTATTAGCAAAAATAGGAAGAAGTTCCTGAAAGAAATGTCTATGGAGATTCTCAGTTATCCAGGTCATGGTTCTCCCAAAAGTGCTTCTTCAGAGCTGAAGAAGCTTCTTGGTTGAGAAGGGAAACTTCAAGAAAAAAACAAAGTCCAGTTGCCTTTTGGAAAAAAGCACTGCTGGGATATTCCTGAAAGAAATATACTACATAATCCAGACCAACAAACAAGCTTTCAAAAGTAGAACAGCCCTTTCTGGACCGGGACGCCTTGCGCATAGTCACTCACGCCCTTGTCACCTCCCGGCTGGACTATTGTAATGCTCTCTACATGGGGCTCCCCTTGAAGAGCACTTGGAGGCTCCAGATGGTCCAGAATGCGGCCGCGCGGGTGGTTAGGGGCACAACCCATTGCGCCCACGTGATGCCACCAGTAGCCTCCCACCGGCCAGTCCGCTCCCACAGAGAGGGTCTCCTCAGGGTGCCATCAGCCAAGTTATGTCGGCTGGTGACACCCAGGGGGAGGGCCTTCTCTGTGGGAGCCCCAGCCCTGTGGAATGAACTGCCCCCGGAAATTCGTAAGTTCTCCGACCTCCGGGTATTTCGCTGTGCACTCAAGACCCTGCTGTTCCGCCAGGCTGGGCTATCAACATAACATTTTTAAATTGGGTTTTAAATTTCTGGGGTTTTAAACATTTAGCCGAATTTATTTAATAATTTTAAACTATTTTAACTGATGTTGTTTTGTGTTTTTAATAGGCTGTACACTGCCCTGAGTCCTTCGGGAGAAGGGCGGTATAGAAATAAAATAATAATAATAATAATAATAATAATAATAATAATAATAATAATAATAATCTGTCTTTGTTTGTTACCATTGAAAGTTCTCTGGCTTCTTTCTCACAAGGTTTCAGCTATGGTCACAAAGATGAGATACAACCTTGATATTTCATAGTAATTACACAATGACACAGTCTCTTACATTGTTATAAACTGCTTTTGTGCTATGGACTCACTTCTATGCCCCATCAAGGCCTTATACCGGGATGTTCTGGAGATGATGTGAATTCAGCATGATCCCAAACCAATTTCAGTGGAAAAAAATGGACATTGGGTTTCACTAGTACAGGGCTCTCCAATCTTGACAACTTTAAGACTTGTGGACTTCAATTCCCAGAATTTCCCAGCCAGCAATGCTGGGAATTCTGGGAATTGAAGTCCACAACCTTAAAGTTGCCAAGGTTGGAGAGCCCTGTACTAGGGAAACCCAATGTTCATTTTCTTCCACTGAAATTCTTGCTAGCTGAGGAATTCTGGGAACTGAAGTCCACAAGTCTTAAAGTTGCCAAGGTTGGAGACCCCTGCTCTAGTTCATCAGGTTTATTACAGAATATAGATTGTCCCATCCTTGTTAGCCTTTCAGAAAGAACCAGATAACATGGTTTTTCCAGCAACCTTGTACACTCATCAGTAGCCTGCAAAATGGTTTTACAGATGGATGCTCTTCTCCTCCAATTTTGGGTTTGTTTATTTCTTAAGTTTTTAGCAGCTGTGACATTTTTGAATTGTAGGTTATAGCTGCCCAGCATCCT